ACTCACTTCAATGCAACACATATTGCCAGCTTGCCGCTACTGGCAAATATTGCCCTCTAATGGAAAAGGTACACACACATACACATACACAGAGGTATTCCTATCATTATGGGGTCTCTATATAGGCATAGGTATTTTCTATCCCCTTAGCCTAACCCTATCCCTCAAACAAAACTTTTTGCATTTTTAGATTATCAAAAAACGTAATTATGTATGATTTATAAGCTTGTTTCTTCATGGGGACCAAAAAACATCCCTACAAGGACACAATTTACTGGTATTACTGTCCTTGTGGGGACATTTGGTCCCCATAACGTAGGGAATAGCAGTCAGGCACACACACACAAATGCTTTTAAATATTCTTTAATACTGCTGGGTATAATGATCTACCTGATCATTGAATTATTATTATATTTTATATATATATATTATTTCCTCTCACTTTCTTTCACCAACAGAGTAGTCTACGGTACAGAACTTTAATTGCTTTTTTCAAATCCCATTGTTTAAAAAGCAAACAGTAGATGTATGAGAAATTATACTGTCAAACCTGATTTCTTTAGGACTGATGATTCCCTGGACGATGATACCGCAGGCTGTACACCACCATATATGATTGTGGATCAAAGTAATTTGTATATTTATTATATACTGCAATGTGAGACATGCATACTACATTATGTATAATGTACATAGTGTATAATTGTGACCTTTGCATTTGTCTGACCCGGTCCCACCCTTCACCAGGACAAGCACTCTGAACGTGGATGATATTGGAATTTATTTGCAGTTACCTGCACACAGAGCAGTAGAAGAGAGACAGAAAATAGCTAGTCATGTAGTCATGTTAGAGCTCCACCTCCAGCATTTCTCCCTAGCTCTGCTGCAGATCGTTCAAGCTCAGTATAACAGTAAACATGACATCTTTTTAAATTAAATTACAAAAATGACATGAATAGAACAAGTAGATTGAATGATAATAGAATTACTACACAGCTTAAATCATGGTCCACTTTTTTACTCTTAAATGTATATGAAATTAAATCGAAGATATAGGTCTGTGATCATGAAAGCTGTTTGTGTAGCTTGTCAGTGAACTACGGCTAAATGCTGCTCCATCTGAAAGCACGTGGAAATATCACATTTAATAACATGTTTTTGCTCCAAATTCACTTCATAACGTCAGTTGAGTGTTTGAAATAAATCCTTCTGTGAGATGATGTGGCTTCTTACACAGAATAAGGCACGCAACATATTTCATAGTATTCTAAGCATTGATAAAGGCTATGTTGATTCACATTGCATTATTATGTACTTTATTGTAATAAAAATTATAATAAGACGAACTCAGATAAACCATATATTGTCATAATCGTGTGTTTATTATTCACGTTGAATCAGTGAAAGCAGTTAAATCTTCTGTTTATTCAGCAACCGTTATAGGGATTTCCTGGGTTTCTTCTGCGAGGTGTTCTTCTGCCCTCTGGCCTTTGGATGGAGATTTACTGCTGATCACAGAACCGTGCTTCACTCAAAGATACGCATGACAATCGCAGCTTCTGCCTAATCGCGATTTATCGCCTTTGCGATTTAATTTCGATTAATCGTTGCAGCCCTAAGGATGCGTGATCCCATTAACACAGGATTTAACTTAAATAACAAGTATTTATTACAGATGAAATGGTTGTTTCCTGCCAAGCAATATGTCCCTATCAGTTTTTAAACCAAACCTATATTATTATTATGCATGTATTACCACTGCTATACTTTATTATTTTTTTTGTTTCTCCATTTACAGCCCCATTATGCTGCACCTCGAGGTTCTTTTGTAAGTTATCTGGAATCTTTGGTAGACAGATTATCTGCATGCATCTAATAACTCTGTGACATCTACATCAAGAGTGTACGTGTATGTGTATGTGAATGAGTGGAATCTGTCTAGCACTTTCATTACTTATTTGAAGCTCTTAAGCATTTCTATTCAGGAATGATACAACAGTGTGGCTTACAAAAAAAAATAAAACCTTTCTGATGATTCATTTGAGATTTTTTATTTTTTTTGGACCAGTTTTTTTTACAGCGCTCTACATGTTATGTAATATATTGAAGTGTCACTTAAAATACATTATTTTAAGGATTTAAATACTTAAAAAAAATAAATCCTATATTTTTTAAGTGTTGGCGATTATTTTATTATTTAAAGTTGGCAAGGGTAAGGGTCTAAGCAGTTAATGTGCTATGCAGTATCACATTGCAATATACAAAAATATATTTAATTACAATCAGATGGTCCCGTATAAAAGCATCTTCTGTGGTGTAGTACATCCTGGAAAGATCTTCATCATCCAAGGATTTCTCAATCCCGGGGGAAACAGGTTTGACAATATCATTCTTTCACAGATAATACATAATAAATCATCTTGAAATAAGACAATGCCAGCTTCCATTTGATCAGAGAAACAGCTGTTTTTGAGAGATGTAATTTCCTCTTCTTTCTGTGACAGAATGGAGATTAGTCTACGACACAAAACTGGAATTGCATTTTACTACAGTGTCTGTTTTGATGAGAATGTGGTTGTGTGCAACAGCTATGAGGATGGGACATGGGGAAATGAGGAACGATCTGAAGTTGTGCTGTTAAAAAGAGGGGAACCGATGCAGGTAAGCAAACATATGACTTTATGGTTCATGAACGTATGCTTTATTCAGATGGACAATGTGAATATGATTGTAAATACACTGGAAAATGACTATACAATAGAGTTTTGGGAAAAATCTTGTAATGTCATGATCAATAGATTATGATCCACATAGATTATGATCCACAAATAAATGTAAAGAGATTAACATAAATTAAACATATTGACAAATAAATAGAATGAGATCCACAAATAATTCTCAGAGTTTCATTAATTGAATTCACAAATAAATAAAATGAGATCAAAAATTGGTCGGCAAAGTATGGCTGTTATCTGATTGGCTTGAGTAGATGGTGGGAGGAGTCCATACATTTATGGATATTCAAAGAGTAAGAAATGTGAGATAATGTGCTTGTTAATGTTTGCTAATAAACTTATTAAACATTAGATAATGTTCAAACAAATCATTATTTCACGTAAGTTCAAAATACTTACAAATGTGATTAAACTTTCATATGATCAAGCACTTATTGAAAATCTACAAATGATTTTAACAGATGTTATAAAATGATTAAAAGCTTGTGTTAATGCACAACACTTTTGCTGCTGTTGAGGTGCGGTACGGGTAAGGTTAGGCACAGGTTTGGTGGTATGGGTAGGTTTAAGGGTTGGTTAAAGGGTCAACAGTGTACAGGGGTCAATTTGATTATTATACGGGAACAGGGCTCTATCTGTTTGTATTATATTGTTTTTTTTTTATAAATGAACAAGTATTTTCTTTTTAAAATTATTTGTTTTCTCCTGTTTATTTATGATTCAAGAAATATCCTGTTTACTGATATACTGAAGAGTAGTATACTAATGTGAGTGTTGAGGCAATAAAAACCTAAAATAATTTTGTTTTTTGCACCAACATTACAAGCTAAACTTAACCTGCCACCCTTTACACAAACCTTGTTACAGCAGCTAAAAGTCCAATGCCCATAAAGGTGTGATAGCAATCCGTTTAAATTTTCATCTTTCTTGCTGCTGCTTCATGTGTGAGCATGATTTGAACTCGAATAACATTCCGTAGTCCAGAAACGTTCTTTAGGTAAAGTTTAATAACAAAATTAACTGGAAAAATGTTACATGAGGGTAAATTCAGGTCTTTCGGGACACTTTTTGCCCGAGATGACTGCTCATAAAGGTATTAATGATTACATTACTAATGTAAACATTTATAAACATTTGCAAATGATAAATAGTTTCCACTTTAGATTGGGTACTGCAAAAACATGAACAAATAATTAATAGATTATTTTTTAAAATGTGTAAATAGATGTCTACACAACAAACAAAGACCAACAAATGAAGATGATATGAACTGAAAGTTTGCTGACATTTGTAAGCATTTCAATTTACATTAAATAATCATATGATAAACATTTGGTAATGTTTAGTAAGTTCATTAGTAAACATTAACAAGAACATTATCTCGTATTTATAGCTATGTGAATATATATTAACTAATTATCTCTTAAGCATTATATAATGTTTGTTAATGATTTATAAATGAAAGTTATTATAAAGTGTTACCAAAAATTTTTTTTAATGCATTTTGGCCAATCATTTACGATCATTTTGGACCTAAAAACACAAACTTTTAAAAACGGGGCTCAAAGTGCAAGTTTTGAAAACAAAAAAATGTTATTGTTTCTTTGAAAACTTCAAAAACACAATTTTGCGAAAGCGGAGACATCATAAAAAACATATTATGAGTTCAGTCTATAGGTGTGCGCGCAGACGCTTAGCCTAACCAATGATCTGTTAAGCATTATATAAAGTTTGTTAATGATTTATAAATTAAAGTTATTATAAAGTGTCACCGAGCCCGGAAGAGTAAAGGAAAGATCTGGTTTAGTTTACATATTAGATCTTCAATGACACTTTAATATTATTATCACATGACTAACGGGATACTGTTATTGTTTGTGTGAGTTGGTCATGGGCTTGTGTGACCGTTTTCAGAAAGTTAGACCTTAAATTAATCATTAAATATTTTTGTTAACCATTTAAAAAATGTTCCTTTCCCAGAATTCTGGTCTTCCTATTTAACAGGACTGAATTCATTATAAATGAATTCAATCAAACCGCTAAAGTCTATTTGATCTAAATTGAAAGATTTAAAAGAAATCATCTTAATACACATGAAAATATAAATGTTATTTGCAGGAATCCTTCGCTTGCTTGAACAAGTTCATTCTTCAATCAATATGTGCAAACAAAACAGAAATGGTGCACTTGGGCCTCATAAAAAATCATTAATCAATAAATACACAGTAGACATTAAACATTAACTTGGATCGTATTTTTAATAGAGACTACAACCTGTAAGTGGATCAATTGGTGGTCAGTCTTGAGTTTAAGATTGAAGAAACACTTTTAGATTGGAGGAGAGCAAAATCTGCCAAAATGGCACTGCATGAGCAATTGCCGTTTTTCAACCCAGTAAGTGACCAATAACTGTATTTATTCATTTATTTTTTAAATAGCAATTTCCTCATACTTTGATTTGGATTGCTGGTATGGACAATCAGAAGCATGAAAATGTGGCCCACTGTTATAATTTTGCTTAAAATTGACTGAAAGAAATGACTGTACACACGTGTGGAGCACTCATGTATTGAGATGTCTGATACGAAATGGTTTCACACAGACTGTCCCGTTCTGTAGTCCAATCCCAGGAGGATTGCTGGAGGGAATGAGTATTACTGTATGTGGACGGGTTTTTCCAGATGCAAACAGGTGAGTAACAGTTTATCTGTAAAAGAAGATGAATGTGAATTTGCTTAATCTCATCAATCATACGCTGTAAAAAAAAAAAAAAAAAAAAAAAAAAAAAAATTCTGGGAATGTAAGTTGGCTTCTAACTGTAGTGCATTCAACAATATTTTACTGTAACAATACATGAAATGTAAGTGAAGTGACATGTGGCCAAGTATGGTGACCCATACTCGGAATTAGTGCTCTGCATTTATCCCATCCAAGCATAGATCTATTACAGTTCTATATAGTAAGGGAACTTACTGTTAACAAATTAACAGGTTTTACGGTAGCATTTTTACAGTTAAAATTGCAATAATTTATTAAATGTTTTACCAGAAAGATATAAAAAGTTATTTATTGTTTGTTTTACACTTGCAACAGTTTGCACATACAACTGCACATGTTTATACCCTTGAGACTTCAATGCATTGATAAACAGAAAATCACCTGCATTCCCATTTTGCGTTTGACATGTTACAGCAGTTATTTTCTTCTTCTTCTTCAGATTCCATGTGGACCTTCAGAATGCAGCTGATGTTGCTCTGCACTTTAACCCTCGCTACAACAGTGGTGGGTACATCGTGCACAACTCCCGCTTGAACGGCGTTTGGGGCAATGAAGAAAACAAAGCTCCAACTCCTTTCCCGAGAGGCCATTTGTTTACTCTGCAGATCCTCATCACACTGAGCTCATACAAGGTCATTCACTCTCGTGCACTTTTGCTTTTCTAAATTAGTTTCAGTCAAAAATGACCTTAGTGTTGTTGGCTTTTTCTAGATAAGTGCCAATGGGAAACCCTTCTCTGAGTTCAAGCACCGTATGCCATTGACACATGTGGATAAAATTTGTATGGCTGGAATGGTCAGACCGAGTTTAATCGCTTTCCAGTATCTTGAGGTGAGAAAAATATACACTTAAATACCAGTATTAGCAATATCATTGTGTTTTGATATTTCAATAGCTTGGAAGCTTCTTTATTGAACTTGTGAGGGAAACATTACAGCCATACAACAGCATTATATACAGACTGAACCACGTGCAATACAATAAATATAAGACACTGGAAGGTGAAGATGCAATTTAACAACAAAAGGTACATAGTTTAAACAATATACAGTAAATGTACAAAAAAATTTTTTTTTTTCAAATAGACAACTTACTGATACAAGGGGTTAAAAAACAGACACACAAAACACTAGTAACAAAGACTGTTTATGGCTGATATACTGGAGAGACAGACGGACATCAGCTCAGTTTTAGTACCACTTTACTGTTAAAACAGCACCTTTATTATGTTGTAGAGTGCTACAATGGCACACATAATGTAATTTTGCCATTTTAAAGTCACTTTGATTTAACAGCCAAATTCTACTAAATATGTACCTGTCCTAAATATCACATTTAATTTACAGCCCGATCATCCTGTGCCTCCGGCATCTTTGGTAAGTCATCTGAAATGTGCGGTAGGCCTAGAGGTCTTTAGATATTTTGTTTAGTGATAGATTGAATCTTTGTAACACTTTGATGACGTTTTTAGTGCTCTTAACACTTCAATGCATATCGGTGTGATTAGAAAAGAACGGACATGTGTAAACCAGGGCTGTCCAATCCTGCCCCTGGAGGGCCAAGCAGCTTCAACACACTTGTCTGGTCTAGTTCTTCCTGGTCCCGGGGATCCACCTTTCGCATATCTCCCTGATTTATCACACCTGACTCAGATCATCAGCTCCATGGCTGTGTTCCACTTCACTTTTAGACAAGCACTCGTGAACTTCCCTAAGCACTTCCCCTCAGGGGAATCCCCGCTGCCATTTTGAAGTGCATTCCACTTCATGAAGTGGACGATGGAAGTTTATATGGACAGACCCTCGACCTCGTGAGTCTACTTCATATGTTCACTTCAGGCCGCTCCATAGACCACAATGCAACATGATTGTTACGTCTTCGCAGATCGCATTTAATTTATCCCACTCCAAACAATTATATGATATATAAAAGATTTCAATATTTTAAACAGCCCAAGCATATGGATGCTGCATCAAACAAATTTGTAAGGGAAAAAAATTAAATAATAAATCAATTCCATAGCATATTCTTAACGATGAAGGGCTTAGGATCCCCTTGTGCAAATACCCACACTTGCGGTCTTGGCCACTTGAGAGCGCGTGCACAAGACTGTCCCAGATCTTAAAAACACCAAATTGCAATGCACTAAATCCACACTATCTCGAATACCGTTCCGGAGCAGTATACGAGGCTTAGTGTATCGCATCATGCATCATGATGTGGAAAGAAATCGTGAGACTTTTTGCCGAGATCACAGAAATCTTTCCAATGTATGCTAAATATAAATAATAATTATTAGATATATAATTTGGTAGTAAAACAAAGAGTTGCACGTTCCATTGGTGAAAATGAGTAGTGGTGATAATTATTTTGAACAACATCTTTTTATCACTTAATTAGAAGCACCACAAAATTAAATTGTGTCATCTGTTATAGGGACTACTGAACAGACATTTAGAAGTTGATTTTAAAATGCAAAGTATTTAAAATAAAAATAAAGCTCTGTAAACACTTGCATTTTTACAACACTATGGCTGTGTTCCACTTCACTTTTAGACACACACTCACAAACTTCCCTAAGCACTTCCCATCGGGGGAATCCCCGCTGCCATTTTGAAGTACGTTCCACTTTGTGAAGTGGACAAGGGAAGTTTATATGGACCGACCCTTGACCCCTCGATTTTGAGCGAGGGAGTGAGTCTGCTTCATATGCACACTTCAGGCCGCTCCATAGACCACAATGCAACACGATTATGACGTCATCACAGATCGCATTTAATTTATCCCCACCCCAAACAACACTATAATATTAATATATATATATATGTATATATATTTTTTTTTTGACTTTCATAACAGCCCAAGCATACATATACATATACATATACATATACATATAGAATGCTGCACCAAACAAATTTGTTCGGGGAAAAATGTAAACAATAAACCACTCCATAGCAGATTCTGTACTTCCTCAACAGACAACGAAGCAGCCACTTTTTGGTTGTTAAAAAAGGTGCGCTTGTTTAAAACAGTTGCGTTCGATCCTTCGTTGGCTGTGCTGATTTAAATCTAGCGGTTCTGTTGTGTTTGTGTCGCAAGTTCAGTGACGCAGGTAG